TGTGTCTCCATATATACATATATTCAAGGGCAGAGCCCCAGAAAACCATAAGCTTTAAGAGGTAGACATGTACAAAACAAGTTTTGCCACTGTACAACTTCATGACCCATGAGGGAATACCCGTACGCAATCGATATTAGCGACATCTTTGATGCAATCGAAAGTCGACAAAAAATGATGTGGGTTATGAACCATGCAGCAGGCAAAGTAGGCACGACAAAAAGAGCATACAAGAAATAGGACTAAGCGCGTTATCCATTATACGTTTACATTATGGGTGAACAAATATGGGAAAACCAATTGCCATTTGTTAACGAAAAAAGGATGAAATGTAATATAAAAAAGACATTTTGGAATGTGCAAAAATCAGTACAATACTGTAGATCAAGTGGAAAGTAAGAATGGAGAGTACACAGTTATTGAAATGCATGCACAAAAAAAGGTTTCATTCATATTCTCAAACAGCGTCAAAAAGCGTCTCTTCCTGGCAAATTTCACTAGAAATTGTAATATCCCTCCAACGTTCGAGGAATTTGGCGTGGAAGCTTTTAGCAAATCGTCAACTTTGGTAATTTAATGGAAATATTGAGATGAAGCAGAGACGAAGGGAAATGTTCACATCGTAGAGCAGTGCCGGTAATTACATTTTCAATTTACATATGCGAGTTTTAAGCATTTCATTGAAACATTCACTGTTGCCGAGTCTGTTTGAGGAGCGAGCAACCATCAGAGTTGGTACATACTACGGCTTTCCGTCGACTGGCGTCGACGACGTCGTCGTCGTCTTTGTTGTAGTCGCCCGTTATCTCTTGTTTTCCTTTTCGCTGATAAAACGTCTCTTAACGCTTCAGCTGCCAGCAGACGGATTTCAAAGGATTCTGCTACTACGTTTCAAAGGTACAGGTCGTTCTACGACAATGTGACTTTCGCTCAAGTTTCACCCTCGTGCAGATAGTCGAATGAACAGGAATTATACGATTAGAATGAGGAAGTTGGTAGCGTGAGAACTTCATTACAATAATCAGCCATTTCATTTTAATATGGGATGTACTACCTACATAATAAATTTTCATTTGAAGTCCTCAAGGATCACAATAGTCCTTTTGTACATGCAGGATGTGACACATTACTTGAACAAGTTCCATGGGCAGTAAATTAGTGACCAACGCGAAGAAAAGGTCCCAAGGTCAATTTGTAAACAAATGTAAATATATTAGGATCAGAGAAACCTATTTTTGATGTTGTACTTCTTTTGAATCACTTTTCGAAATGATAAGTATGAGTGAAGATACAATATGCCTAGGTACGCTTTAGTCTCTTTATACAATGAGGCCTTCATTCCAGAACTGTTTTCTGCGATGCATCGGAAATAGCGACAAAGGCTCTGAAATTAAGGGAAAAGTTCGTCGTGAAATCTGTTGGCGCATTGCGGAGTGCGACATCGGACTCAAAAAACTTGCACGAGGCGTAAATTGAAAACGCCTTTGAAATGAAATGATGTAAATGCATTTTCTAATGAGCATTAACGTAAAGATGAATTGCGATATTCAAACTTCAACAAAAAATATCGCGGACGAGTCAAAATCCGTGTGACGTAGCTTCTACACCTTGTTCCTCTTATCAACGAAAAATTTTTATGTACAGTAAAAGTTCCTTATTCGCGGATGAAAAAATTGCAACCCAGTTCCTGTATTCGCGGTTAAAAATTTCATTATTCGCGAATGAAATCGGTTAACAGAAAAGGATTCGGTGTCATTTATTAAGAGGATTGACCGCAATAGACCGTTCGTGTCTAGTGTAAATTTTTCCGAAAACATGGGTTTCTATTCTGAACATTGTGATTTAACGCTGCGAGATAAATATGTATTTTTTTGTATGGTAACAGACAAAGGTTCACACTAACTCGGTACGTTTTTGGTTTTCAATAATATGGTCATTAAAAGCTTTTACAAGTGCTTAAAGTTAATACTTCTTGTAGGACACGTATTTTCAATAGAAATTAAAAACATAAAAAATGGCCTTCAATAGGATTTAGAACAAAGCTTTATCTATCTTACTAAAAAATTTCAAACCTCTGTTCCAAACAATAAACTCATGATATCTAGAACCGATAAGCATGTTTTTACTCTACGGCGCGCGTCTACTACTGAATCCCCTCAGTGCATCGGCATCTTTTGAGTATGTAATGTCGGTACGTGCCGAGGCAGCTTTTATAAAAAATGTAACCGAGTAGACTTAATTCAAAATTCAAAACAAGGAAAACTCACTAAATTTTTTAAAGCCTTGTCTAAAGGTGATTATAACGATTACTTTTAATTGCGAATTTTTCAATAAATTGATTTTATTCTGATACATATTGGTTTTATTTTGGAACCTTGGAACGTATCCCGTATGATTCCATACTAATTACCATTCCATATCCACGGTTTCTGCATTCGCGGCATATTTATGGAACATATATACCCCACGAATGAAGAACTTTTATTGTAATAGAAAATAGCAAACTGCCTATATGCTGATACTAGCTGAGCTTTTGGCCTAAAGTAACCGTTATTACTCTGAACTAACGTCAGTATTGACTACTTTCGATTAGATTCTTCGACAACAAAAACTATGCACCGCTAAGCAGAAGAAATATTAAAACCTTACATTTTTTCATGAAGCCTATATAGCATGTTCTGATCCAATAAAATAATATGTTTAACAAATTAAATTATAAAACATTTACATTCCAGTTTAAAACTGGTGCAACGAAATACACACCTTCATAAAATAATGTACATCTACCACGACATTTTCCCTATGTACCTATAATATGCACCTTTTTCTCCATTATGTATTGTTATTCATGTTATGCGAACACACATATGCCAAGTCCTTCTGCATATTTTTTTTAATCTACTTAAAAAACCGAGCACTTCCATGCACTACATTTGTAACAAATGGAAAGTATAATTAATCGTATATTTATGCTAATTTTAAACGACTAATCCTTAATTCACGATTTATAAAAAAATATATCCTCAAAAATTCAGGCTACTCCAAAGCAAACGCACAGAACCTTAAACAAATAAATGTACAATTGACAATTCAAAAACATAAGGTCTATTTACTTAATATTTTTTTAATTGTTTGCAATTGTGATGCATATGGGTTCATATACACTCGGAGTTTTATGACTTAAATGCATGTGCGAGCATTTTTCCAAGCACATAAAGTACTTTATATGTAGTACTGTTATATGTTTTAATCTATACATCGAAGACGCGATCAACATCATTAAAGACAGTGCAGCTGTAGGGATAGATGTGCAAGGGCAAAAGATTAGTATGCTTAGATTTGCAGATGATATAGCAGTATTAGCATCTAGCAAGGAGGACTTACAGATAGCTTAAAATAAAATGGAAGCGGTACTGACAGATCAGTACTGTATGAAAATAAGTAAAAGTAAAACTAAAATACTGGTATGCAAGGGAAGAAAAAGTAGGGAAAGAGCGAATATAAAGATAGGAGACGAAAAATTAGAAGAAGTTGCTGATTTTAGATACCTAGGACGTCAGATATGTCAGGATGGAAGGAGTAGTAGGAATATAAAGCAGAAGATAGTGCAGGGTCGTGTCGCATTTAATAAAAAGAAGTTCTATGCTCGCGAACGGTTAATTTAAAAATTCGAAAAAGGTTGTTAAAGGTGTATGTTTGGAGCATGGCATTGTACGGGTGCGAAACATGGACAGTAGGCGCGGCGGAAAAGAAAAGGTTAGAAATGTAGTGTTATAGGCGGATGATGAGGATAACGTGGGTAGAAAAGGTTAGAAATGAAGAGGTATTGGAAAAAATAGGAGAACAGAGAACTCTATGGAAGTCAATAAAAAATAGGCGAGATAGGTTGGTAGGACACCTTCTCAGGCATGAAGGTCTAGTGAGAGACATATTAGAGGCAGAAACAGGAGTTAGGAGGGGTAGAGGTAGACCTAGATTAGATTACTGTTCGCAAATAGTTAAGGATGTGGGATGTTCTAGTTTTAGGGAAATGCGAAGTTTAGCTCAGGATAGGAAAGAGTGGAGGTACGTGTCCAACCAGTCTTAGGACTGGCGACCTTATGATGATGACTGTTATTGAATGCGCGTTGAAGAATGCACGTACATGTACATATGAAGTCATCTATGCTCGTGTGGTTCTTGTGGATCATATGAACCTAATTCAACGAAAGTACTTGGATATTTCTAATGAAAGCAGAAAAAATAATCGTACAATGAGAATACATACCATAACGTTACTTAATGCGCATCGAAGAATGCACGTGTACATGTATTAAGTCATTTAAGCTCAACGTACGTGGACGATTTCTTTATATATTAAGTGTTTCATGCCTGCGTCTTAAGATGAATAACACCAAGTTATTAATTGTTATTAAATTCGCGTTGATTAATGTCCCCTATCATTAATAATATGCGATTACTAAACGTAATTTCGGATTCCAGTAAAATTCATTCGTAGTCATAGAGAGCTAAAATGCGATATACCTTAGTAAAAAGTGTAAACGAACGGCCACTTGAGAACATATTTAAATTTAGCAAAAAATAGGGGTAGGTATATCAAGTTATCAGTTGATTTTAAGTAGTGCTATTTCCTAGTGATAAATACGTATCAGGGCAGGTTAGCCGTTTCTATCGTTATTTGGCAAACGATAAATCAAATACAAGGCAGTTACCGCCAAAGACTGTTATTTATGTCGGACAACTACAAGCTTAGAAACGCGAAGACGCCGAGTTATCAAAGATTATTCGTTGACGTGTTGGGCGAATAGTGGCGCCGTTTCTTCGAACAAAATCCGGCGATTTAGTGAAATATAAATGCGGCCGCAACTGTTTGACCCGGTTTCGAAAAATTATTAAGCGGAACAAGGGGTCACACAAAAACACTAGCTATGCTACATGAATACTAAAACAGGCTCCGGAAGTAATCGGACCGCGAGGTTGGGAAATCTCATAAAACGTACCTACAAATTTCGCCTTTTCGATGGAATACCAATTGGTTAAAGGATGGAAACCATCTTGCAAGAAAAGGGATTCGATGTCGTAAACCACATGCATTTTAAAACGAACAAATGGTACGATAGATATGCCCAATAAATTCAGAAAGTTTTGTAACTAACTTGTACCTATCATAAAATTTACCAGACTTATAATATTGCACAACCAATAGAACGAGAACCCCAGAATTCGCAGCTTCATCCACTTCGATTGTCATAGTGGGAGAAGCATGTGTCCGCTGTAGTATAATATAATATAATATAATATAAATGGTAGTTCTGCAGAAATATAACTTTGTTATATTCTTTTTCTTTAATACTAACCTGTAAGGTTGACATAAACTACCTTGTGGACATTGAAGTGTGTCATTCCAATGAAACCCTAGACAGAAATTTTCAGTCTCTCTGAGAGCGTCTCTCACAGTCTTTCACAGTCTCTGTATGAGAGACTCGGACGATAAAATTGTTAATTCAGAGATTCGAGTCTCTCACAGAGAGACTGAATGAATAAAACTGAAAAATTGAAAGACTGGAGTCTCTCGTAGGAAGACTGGGATCTCTGAAATATGTTGAACTTAGAAAATTTTAACCATGTCTTCGAAACACCACTTATTAAGAAATTTGAGTCTCTCGTACAGAGATTCTAGTCTCTCGTTTAGAGATTCGAGTCTCTCGTTCAGAGATTCGAATCTTTCGTTCAGACTGGATACGAAATGAGGATCTCTCTATGAGCGACTCGAGTCTCTCCTTTAGAGATGCTAAACAGTTTTTTTGACAGTCTCTCTTAGCGACACCAGAGAGACTCGATGAGAGACGGAGACTCGAGTTTCGCTTTCAGAGACTCTGAGAGACTGAACATTTTTATCACGGGAACGTTTGTCTATCATGCAGCATTGAATCTAAATACCTCACTTTTATACTTTTGTACATAACATTTAATTTTCCAATTGGAAGGTTGTATTAGATTTTTCCTTTGTACCTTCAGAAAACTCACAATTTGAGACAATTTCGAACCATTTACAACTTTTGTTTTCGGTTACAAAAATATAATTAAACAAATCCTTTATATTAATTTTAAACAACACAGAAATAATGTATACATACATGAAGCAAAATAAAGTATTGCCTCATGTACAGATAACCTGAAATGTTCTTTGAGGAAAAATACATTATCTTCCATCTATAGGAGACGAAACCTTTTCTTTTTTTGCTTGTCCTCCATTTTCTGCCTTACCGGTCGGTTTTCTGGATGAACGCCTTTATTTAATAGGTAACTACTGTTGTGCCTATATTCACAATATAATCTAAAATTTTCTTTCAATGCTGCCGCAAGAAAAGGCAGAAGACTTGCAAAAATAGAAATGGCCCATAAAAGTGTCGATCTTAAATTCAACGTTCGAAGTGAGAAATAAAACGGCTTTTTTCCATGCGACACGAGTGGTGAAAGGCTCCAAAGTGTCTACGCATAATACAGATCGCACTCCCTCGGGATAGGTCTCCGTCCTCCTCTCCCGGGATCCCGACTTCCGATCTCTCAGCTCTTTTGCCAGCTGAAGAGCATATATACGACACAGAAACGTAATACTAAATATTCCACGAGCTAATCTCGATCTCGGATTTATGGTGATGGAAACTCCGTTATACTGTACACACGAAGCAGTCAATTCTCCCTGTAATAAAACATAGAGTCGCGTTTGACGTCGCTGCCCTTTATTATCGCCCTTTACGTGCCATTACAAAAATTATGAAACGAAAATATCACGAATATGTATACATACAATATCATATGTACCTAACAGTAAAACATATCTACACTACTACAGAACCGAAAACCGAACGCAGGGATGATATTCTATTACATGTAATCAATAAAGCGTAACATTATCTCTTGAATAATGCGACGTGATTGCCCTAGGAAGATTCGTACAAGTACCTTAAGTAATCCACTCAAATAAATAACTTTTTTATACGATATACAATATTGATAGTGCCAAATTCTCATTATACACTATGTCTGATCAATACAGAAGAAGATACCTAATTGAAAAAGAAATAAAATAAGCCATAATGCCCCAACTGCTCTGGCAATGATGACGCACGTGATGCTGCCAGTGCGTTCTCTCTCTCTCTCTCTCATATGTGGCTACCTTGTCTGCATATTCTGCATGCTTTGTTTGATATTTTTACACTCGACCTATTTTTGTATTTTGTGGTAGTAGCAGTAACATCGCCAATCGAATAATAACTACGGAGTGGAGGCGACTACCAATTGACTACTATACGTTCAATTGGCCTGTCTATATACCTGCTGTTGCGAAGGTCACCGTTAGGTATGAGTGTTTCGTTACTTGACATTGGGCACAACGCGGCTGTCAAACTGGAAACTGTTCTCAATCATTGACGGCTCTTTAACTGGGATACTTTTTGTGCATAGTTTTGTACTTCCATTGCAACATCATCAGTCGAAAAACTAGTTGGAAATACTCCTCCAATCCTTCGTAATCTGTTCAGCTAATCTTCGCATTTCACTCATCTCTCCTAATTGTAAACAATAATCTAACCCAGTTTCTCCTCTGCTCTTCTATTTCTACCAAACAACCCCAACACCGGAAGGTGCCCTACCATCTTATCGGCCCTTTTCCATGCTGACTTCAATAGCACCCTTGGATCTCCTACTTTTTCCAATATCATCTCACTTCTAACCTTTTTTATCCAAGGCATTTGATCATCTATCTATAACACCACAAGTTAAATGCATCTGAGTTTTTCTAATCCGTCCCACCCACACAGTTGAGATCCAAAGGTACATCATCATCATCATCATAAGGTCGCTAGTCTTAAGACTGGTTGGACACGCACCTCCACTCTTTCCCTGAGCCAAACCTCGCATTTCTCTAAAACTAGAACAACCCACATCCTAACTCTTAATATTCTTCAAGTTTTCATGAGTTCTTTTCGTTAAAAGTAAGTCGACCTTGCTCTGTCCTTTATTTGATGTCTCCGCCACTTTTCCATCCTGAGTTATCCGACTTCAAAGATACCGAAAATCGGCCAATCCCTTTAGTTTTTCATCTCCAATTTTTATATCACTTATAATCCTACTTTCAACTTTCCTGTATACTAATATTTTTATATAATAACTCCATTAGAATGTATTTTATGGTCTGTGTTCTCGACATTGCAATTACAGTTTGGCATTTTGGCATTTAACAAGTATTTTAAGCTATGTATGTATACCTATAAACCTCAATGCACTTAGACGTGGACACCTGATGTGTTTCATGAAAACACGTATGTACATAGAAGCGACTAAAATGTTATTAACACGCTGGTTATTTTACAAAATGTTGCCTTTATGAAGCCTCTAAATTCGTAATGAACGCATACAAACGTCCGAGCAGTATTTTTGTTGCAAAAAGCAAAGGCATTATAGATTTTCGCGTCGAAAGTGCATTATTAAGTAACCAAATTTCCATGGTTACTGACTGCTTTTATATACAAGCCGCATGATTCAATTTTATAGATAGGAAATCATCATAAATAAATAATAAAGTACATTACAGCATATTAAGCTCGTATGATCAACAATTTATCGAAACAATTTTGAACATATTAGTTCCCATCAGCACACCATGTATATCTTCGATGAATCACTAAGAAAATTAAGTATCTCCGTAACAAGAATGTTGGTATAACATCAAGGTGAAGCTAAGACATCGCCATCAACTGGTACTTACTATAACTGCAGTGTGCGAATGAAAACTAGTCAATTAAACTTCAAGATATGGTAATCTCTATATATTAATGTGTATCTACCTATTATTAATTTGGTTCTCGATTAAGTTTCTCAACTAGGTACCTTCCTATGACTCTTGTCAAACATATAAAATGCTGTAGTTGCTAGTAAACAACAGTAGATGGCGACTTACCGGCAATGTCCTGATGTTTTTGCATTTTGTTTGCAGCAAATCCAGAAAAAAATTGTGAATAAAAGTGACAATAAGCTGCTGCTTTGGTTTACATCCACACAAACTATTAAACTTACTCACTGTAGTGAGTTATAGGAGTGTCTCTGTATTATCAATACTACGATTACATAATTTGCTTCTTTTCCGGGTAAAATCGAGCTTTTCGAACCGTTTTCAACTCCTAGATAACGTTCCCAACAACTGTAAACTTTTCTTACAAATTCTCAACTCCTCTAATACCAAATCATCTGACACATCTCTCGGGATTATTATTTAACGTCACTAATTTACAACATCATTTCGTCGTGACGACAAAACTGCCGCCTCGCTATAAATTTAGATCAATTAAAAAGTTTTGAATTAAATCGATTATACAAAGTTGTAACAGCTGAGGAGATTAAAGCATCAAGTATGGAATATAAATATGAAATTGAAATGCGCTACAACATTACAGAACATAAGTATGTTGCAGAGTTGTAGATAAATATTGTCTGTGGTGCAATCGCTAGATGTTACATCAGTTATCTGACGTTACTGTCTTCGATGATTCAAAATATTGTCATGTAAAGATTTTACTGGTGCTATCCAACAAAAAGGTTACAATTGTTCAGTACAGTATTCTACAGCTTGGGAAAAGACTTTTGATTTTAAGGATCTGGGGACTATATAAACAATAACAAGTTTAGAAATACTTGCAAAATTTCAAGGCGATTATGAGAATATTATTAACAAATTAACATACATTTTTATTAGAATTGCATATTTCAAGATATTTCAAAGTTATGTGGTAGAGAGATTTGAAAAATTTAGGCATTCTTACATTCATTATTCATTTACGAAAATATCTATAAACTTTTAACATGATTAAGGATTAATTAACTAATGAAAAACACATAGGAATGGGTAGAAGTACTTCAGAATGACTCGAGCCTTGGCTTGTGTTGCTCAGTGGTATCATCATTATCATCATCATCATAAGGTCATCAGTCCTAAAACTGGTTAGGCAGGCACATCCACTCGTTCCTATCCTGAGCTAACCTCCGCATTTCTCTAAAACTAGAACATCCCACATCCTTAACTATTTGCGAACAGT